GCACAAGGATTCTAAAAACACCCATATTGCCTTGGTAAAACACAACTTTTTGTGGAGAAATCTGCAATTAAAATTTTGACAATTGATGTCTTTTTCGTTATTTTGGCTTTCCGGTTGACGGGGGACAGGAGGGTCCCTTGAAATCCTATGTCTCCCTAGATATCCTTCAACCAAACTTTTCAATCTTCTGCACGCACAAAAGCGACAAAATTTTATTCTTTTACTTTCTTAAATGGCATCTGAAAATATTAATTTTTTAATTAATTTTAATTTATTAATTAATAAATATTAATAGCAACTAAGTTGTGGAATTTGTGCTTTTAATGGTGGGGTCTGGATTCGACTTTGGTTGGCAATGTTATGAACTAGTTCTTCCAACAGTACATTTAATAAATAAAGAAAATAGATATTTGATATATGTTAAGCCAACGATTATGGTGATTTATGGGTAGTAATACTTTTTATACTCTAATAAATAAAGAAAATTGTTGCTATTAAAAAAAAAAAAACTTGAATACAAGTGTACAATATATTGTTTTTTACTTTTACTTGACCAAAACTTAAAATTAATATTTGTATTTAATTTAATTAGATCTTGTTTTCATTTAATAGATTTTTTTATTTTTCTATTGGTATATCCGTATATGAGTGAAATTATGAAATGAAAAAATCCCTCATCGTTCAAAAGTAGAAAATAGTGTTTACTAGCATTTTATATAAAAGAAATACATAATCTCATGTTGTTTAGAAATAAAAAGTATAATTTATTACTATTTTAAAATATATTTGGAAGAGTTGGGTTTGGGCCAAATAGTTTTACTATTGCCCTTTAAACATTTTAATTAATTAATAGTTATTATAATAATTAAATAAATAATATATATTTTTAAATTAAAAAATAGAAAAAATATTCATTTCTTATTAAATTTTAATTCATTTTTAGGGTTATTTATTTAATCAAAAGATAAAATTATTAATAACTTAAAATTTTTATCACAAATTCATTTCTGATTATTTTTTTTATCACATTAAAAATTTTTCATTTTTATAATGAAATATAAACATTAAAAATAAAATGCTATATTGTGCATAATTATTTTGAAACAAATAATCATGTCACACCAACTTCAAAATGCCCATTTGCCAAATAGGGTCATTTTCAGTAATGCTTGCATGATCGTCTCCTTTCAGGACACGCGACGTGTCATTTAGTAGAAATCCGCCTATACAACAGAATTAGGATCTTCTAACTCTATAAATACAGCCCTCTCTTTCACACCAACTCCATAGCTTTCAAGATTCTATATTTTTTCTTTTGGCAGAACACGTTACTAGCACAAATTAATGGCTTTGGTTTCAACTCAAAAATTGGCAGGGTATTCTACTTCTTCTACCCGTGGAAAGCTTACCTTACCACAACATGTGGTTGGGAAAATAGGTATGCTTTTTCCTCCAGAACTGCAAAATGAAGGAAACGCAAAATTCAATATGTTTTTGGAAGTTCCTAATGAGGGTAGTCGCCCTTTTGTGGTAACCACATCACTTCAAAAACTTAGGAAAGCGGAGGAAAAAGGTGTGAGAGTGGTTCTCTTGGAGACACTACAAGAAAATCCACATTTAGTGACTAAATTATTAATCATTAAATCTTTATTTTTTATCACAAATTATTATTAATGATAAATTTAAATCGTTAATAAAACCATTGTCACTAATGCTCTTAATGACAAAACAGGCACCTGTCACAGAAAATAATTTTATAGTGATAGAAAAAATTGACATCATTAACAAGTTATTTATAACAATTTTATTTGTCACAAAAAAATATTCGTCACAAATGCAATTGTGATGTAAAATTTAGTCATTAATTATTAAAATTGATATTAAATAAAAAGGATATTTATATAATTATAACACAAATATTTTAAAAAAAATTTTGTCACAAAAAAATAATTTAGAAATTTATCACAAAAGTTTAATAAAAAAATATTATTATTTCAATACTAATCAATTTTGATTAAAATTAATCAAGCACGATTAAAATTAATCAGGCTCAAACTAATCTCAAGTTTTATTGAGTTTCACATGTTTTATAGTGCAAAAATTTATTTTTTTAAATATTTCTTATCGATGTGGAATATATTTATAATGCAAAACCTTATTTTCCTATATGTTTTTTTATCGATGTGGGATGCATTGATTAGAAAAAATTGTTAGTTTTTAGTGACGAAATATATTTTTTAGTGATAAATTATTTAGTCATCATTAAATGTGTAAGATATATGTAACCAATATTAAAATTTTGTTATAATTGTAATGTATTATAGTGATGATTTTTATTGACAAAAGTTTATTTTATCTTTATAAACATTTTTTGGGGATGAAATATATTTTTTATGATGAATTTTTTTTGTCATCATTAAATATGTATATATCTGTGAATAATTTTTCAAATTTGTCACAATTATGATAAATTATAGTGATAATTTTAAAATTCATCATAAATTTCTATCACTAAAAATCATTTTTCTTGTAGTGAGAGTGGGTGGAAGCCTATTGTTAGGGAACTTCAGCTGAAAAAGGGAGACACGGTGAGGTATTTTTCTCTTAAATAAGACGGCGTGGACTTATTTAATTGAAGTGGAAAGGGCTCCAGAGGCCGACCGAATTGATGAACTTGATGCCATGGATGAGGATGTAGTACCCGAACAGGCTCCAATAAAGATGGAATTTGACCTGAATGAGCCTGTCCAACTCGACATGGAGATCAATCTGAACCAACCGAATCAACCGGTAAGGATGGAGTTCGACCTCAATGAACTGGCACACCCCAACATGGAGGTCAATCTCAACGATGAAGACTGAAGGATGGGAGCAGGACTGCAGGAGGGTGGATTGGTATGTTATATATATATATATATATACTAAATTACTGATATGTTAATGGTTAACTGTTATATCCCTCTTCTTCCCTTCATTCACAGTCACCTGTTTTAAAGTTTAAATTTGAGATTGAGTTTTAAACTCGATCTTACCCTTGCATGAATGTGAGTTCGTTCAATTTCTTTGTTTGACATCCCTTTTTAAGAGTTGTCTTTATTTTTACCAGGTTCTTTGTTGGGCAGCTTTGGGGATTTACTTATACGACCGTTCTACAGAAGTGGCAGAAGTGTTGTTTTCTTTCAGCATATTGTTGTCGGTTTTTTTTTTTTTTTTTTTTTCCTTCCAATCAAACCCTAATCTAGATGGGGCTTTTTGCTCTGAATGCAATGAGAGTGTCTCTGCTGTTGATTTGGTGCTGCCTAAAGATAAGGATTCAAATGCTTCAATCGAAAGGATCGGAGCCTTCATCGATAATGGTTTGGTTACTGGTGAATCGAAGGAGTTATGCGTGGTCTCTAACGCCGGAGTTTACATCTCTGTAGATTCAACGAATCAAATGGATCGAGCCATGCTTATGGGGTTTTTAATTAGCCGAGTAGATAAAATCCTTCCTGGGCAATGGTTTGGAGGCAGGTGAATCGTTGGAGGTATGTTTGGTTATCAGTGCTGAAGGGTTTTCTCTCAGTGTGGGTTTATCACTCGCCTGAGCTTGTCTCATGGAATCAATGGGTGCGCTTTAGCAGGAAAGAGAAGCTCCTTCCTTGTTACCGCCAGTACTTTACCTGATTTCCTGATGAACGAGGTCTACGAGTTGAGTTCTCCAGCTATCAAACATGAAGATGCAGTTGAGTGGTTCAAAGGTAGGTGGCTAAATCGGTGGCAGTTCTGTATGCTTGGTTTGCTCTGAATGTCTGGATTGCGGTAATTGTCTGGAATATGATTTATTTAGAATCCCTGAATTTTCTTTAGTACTGGTAAGAATTTTTTTAAGCTTAAAAATATAACAAAATTAAGTCCATATATATATGAATAGTAATATCTATTTATATATAAATTTTATACATTAAATTTATATAAAATCTTAACCATTTATACTTTATCTTGAGTGATTCTCATGCACACGGATGAATTGATGTTCTTGGTTGCTAATTCAATTTTTGATGTTAATGCTGAGGTTAATGGTGGGATGGCAATGCTTTTTTTGGGGTTTTGGTGGCTGTCATGATGATATGATTGCCTTACCCCAGTCGGTAGGATCTCTCGTCGTTATAGGGGCTCAAAATGACATATATCTAATTAAGAATATATAAGAATGACCCATGTCTATTTATGTTTCTAGCTCATTTACAAATTGAGCAAAAGAGAAGAATAAGACTGCCAGTGGGATTAGATTTGCCTTATCTATGATGTGGTAGACTCAATTCCTGGATGGGAGGTTGCTGGTTGGTTGGTACAGGGTGAGGGACATTAAAAACACTTTTGATTTTGGTCCCTTTCTTATTTGATAAAAATAAAAAAATATATTTTACCATTTAAATTATTTTAAATTATAACATATTAATTATTTAATAAAAAACTTTCCCTCATCAAATAATTTTTATTTTACCATTTAAAATAATCTTAAATATAATACAGAACATCTTTTTTTCTTTTTAGGAATATAAAACAGAACATCTTAATTAATAGAAAAAACAACGAAAAAATGAACGCTCTCATTTGACCGGTCAACTCCTTCCCAATTAGAATGCGAAAATGCTATCCTTTAACAAAATTTTCAAAGTTCAGGGCCGCCCGGTCTCTCCACATAGTGTCCTTCACATGAAGTTATAACATGATGCGTGATGTGACAGTTGAATGTTTAAGTTAGCTAGATAAATTCTCAGCTGGGACAGTTCAACGTTAATATTAGTTAGATATGTTTATAGATGTATTAAATTATCAATTAAAATAATTAATTTGTAAAACTAATTAAATTCTTAACTCTATTTGCCATTATTTTCAAATACGGTGGTTCGCGTTGATGCAAATATTATTGTAAGTTACCAACGAGGGGTTGGATCAAGTGGTAAGCGGCTTGTTCCAGCTTAAGTAAGATCTTGAGTTCGAGTCCTTGTGTATGCAGCAGCCTCCGTTGGGAGACTCACCCACCATTTCCAGGTGCGCAACGTGGGTTGAGTCCGGATTAGTCGAGGCGAAGCCTTGGATACTGAACAGAAAACCCAAAAAAAAAAAAAATTATTGCAAGTTCATTACCAATATATATATATATATATGTATATATATTATTGGAAGTTTTCCCGTTGGACAATGGCTCATGCAATTTTGTCTTCTTCTCCTTGTTTGCGGTTAAAATGTTAAATTTAGTCCTTTACTAAAAAAGTGGTAAAAATATTAAGTGACAAAAAAGTGCATAACTGCAATGGATGGCATACATTATTGTTTTAACTGATATTGACATTTGACAATGATGAAAGAATAAAAGAATTCTACCATTCACATATAACATAAATTTTTAATTCTACCATTCACATATAACATAAATTTTTAATTCTACCATTCACATATAAGTTAAAATTTTAATTCTAACATCCACATATAAGTTAAATTTTTAATTCTAGCATTCACATATAAATTAAAATTTTAATTCTAACATTCACATATAAGTTAATTTTTAATTCTAACAATTATTTATTTTTCAAACTTAAAAGTTTTTTTATTATTTTTTAGTACAATTGAAGTAGAAAGATAGGAGTGCAAGATTGTGGTGGCAGGGTTCGATAATGCTGGAAAAATGATGATGCTTTACAAACTCCATCAAGGGTTGGATAATGTGGAAAAAAAAATAAGGGAATCAAGAAGAGGAGCAAGGTCTAGATTCTAGAAGTTGAAGACAAAGGAAAAGTAGTCATTTCATTATGTTTTATTTTATTGGTCCAAAAAGACATTTATATTTTGTTTTTAAATATTAACATAGCTATTTTAATTTTAAAAACATCCTAAAATATCTATATAAGCAATGGTTAACGAATAGTTGTCCATATCATCTAAAATTTAACAGAACAATTAAAAAAAGTCAAATATGTAAAGTTTAAGGACCCTAACAAAAAAATTTTAAGTTTAAAAATCTAATTAAGGCCATACAATAATTAAAGCATTAAATTAGAGATTTAATCTATTAATTTAGTCTGTTTAGCTTTTTAAGATCCTAACGAATGCTGCCACAATCTAGAAGCCGCCGTACAAAGCATCTGTTTGGTTATTTGATTAAATTTATTTGTGTGT